GGGAGTCGGCGCCTCGTCCTGCTGGAAAGGGATGGCTGCCGGTAGCTGTCAGAGGCCCCCTGGAATGTGCCGGTTCTGCTCGCTCAAGGAGGAAATAGGTTTGGTATCCTGGCCTGCTGAGGGGGGAGCGCGGCCCAGGTTAATGGGGAGTGGGCCTGGAGTGGCTTTATAACCAGTTTAAGGAGTAAGATGGTGTGCTTTTTAGCAGACCACCTCTTATTGTCTCATTATTGTTGAAACATGCTTTGTTTATCTAGTGGTGGGCAGAGGTTGTTTGTTCTTTTCCTAGCTTCATTTCCCTGTGCTTGTTTCCTATTTATTTCTTTTGCTTTGACTAATCCCATCCTAACTGCTACAGACTTTATCCGAACTAGTGAATTGTTGGACTAGGAAATGGGGGTTGCAGAGTTCTTGTCCTTCATGTTGTCATCCCTACTGGTTTTCCTAACAGGCATTCGGCCTCCGATTGTGAATGGCCCAATGCCGGCGCGGCCACTGGTTGCACTCCTGGATGGACGAGACTGCACAGTGGAGATGCCCATCTTGAAGGATGTTGCTACAGTGGCGTTTTGTGACGCTCAGTCAACTCAGGAAATCCATGAGAAGGTGGGCAAGGAAGCACACAGGCATTTGGGTTCAGAGCTCTGCCTCTCAGAGTAACCAAGGCAGAGGTTCATTTGGGCTGCTTTTTATTGTAGGTGCTGAACGAGGCAGTAGGAGCTCTGATGTATCACACCATCACTCTTTCTCGTCAGGATCTGGAGAAATTCAAAGCCCTCAGGGTCATTGTGCGTATTGGCAGTGGCTATGACAATGTTGACATCAAATCTGCTGCAGAACTAGGTATGGTGACACCATTCAGGCTCGGTTGCCATCAGAACTGAGTGTCAGGTGGAACACTGGACATGGTTTTTGTTTTATATCTGAGTACATTGAAAACCTTTTATATAAAAAGATTTGGAGCTGCTTCATGTCAGGCACCTTTAGGAAGCTGAGTAGTATCAGAGCTGGTAGGTGTCTTGCAAGAAAGATTCTCAGTCCTTAGATTGCTCTGCTCTGGACTTCAGTGTCTTTGCTCTTGTCTGGGATTCAGAAACCCACATGCAGTGTCTAGATAACTGTTGGTGAGAGAGAAAGAGTTGAGCACAGGGATGTCTGAAAGCAGACTGCAAATACTGATGCAGGATAAACTCACTAGAAATTGTCAATTAGTGAGTTTTACTATTAAATTTTCATATGCAGGTATATTCTGATTCAACACTTTATTACTGATCCCTTTAGAGCTCTAGGCATGTGAAGAGTCTGTGAATCAGGTGGCCAAAAAGCTGCTATTTAAATAAACATGGTAGTGAAGCCGTTGGGCCTTGTAGGTCCACCTAGGTGAGGTGGATCATTAAGAACCCTGCCCCTTCTGTTTTAGATTTGTGTCTGTGATTTGAAACCTCTCCTGATGCAATCCAGATCAGGTTAAGCTTAAATCAAATGCAGTTATTTTTATATAAAATTTCAGTAGGCATTACAATTACCAGATCTGAAAGAACAGATGAATTGCACATAAATGAAGACTGCATATCTATCTAGTGCTTGAATTAGGCCTAGAGAGTTTTCTCATGTGAATGATTCAACTGAAGAGTCTCAAGTTCCTGGCAAGGTCTTTGGCTCTCATCCAGCCATTACATTTTTGGGCTGAATTTGGAACCTTAGTGTTTTCTACCTACAAGTTACCATCCATATCCTGGATTAATTCAAATTCAAAGCTTTCTCTTTCCCCCTACTTCACACTCATTAACCCAAGGAGAAAGGGGTCAAAGTTCTTTCACCAGCAGACTGCTGCTTGCCACTTTTGCTTTGGACTGATAGTATGGTGACCTTTATGTGTGACCAGATTTGCTTTTGCATGGACAATTAATCATAGAATCATAGAATCATAGGGGTTGGAAGGGACCTCGAAAGATCATCTAGTCCAACCCCCCCGCCAGAACAGGGTCACCTAGAGCACATTAATGATTATTTCCATGCTTAGCCAGGCCCTTTTATTCATTCTGAGGTAAGGTACTGTTCCTTTTGTGTTTTGAATCTTCAAATCAGTCCTAAGGGCTGTTGTATGTGTTTGCATTTTCTTACATTTAGGCATAATACTGCATAAAAACACAAACTTGTGTCTATCTGACTTACAGATCAATACATGTGGCTTATCTGAAGTTGAATGAGATGGTAACTGGTGAGATTAAAATAAGTTAGGTTCCCCTGTCTCCCCTTCTTAAGTCCTGAGTTGTCTGAGTGGCGTTATGGCACCATTTAAAAGGATTTTATAAAGAAAAAGAATCTGGTATCTGGGATTGTCTGGAGCCATGGCTCTCCTAGTTCTTTTGGGAGAGCATGGTCTGAGTTTAGTTGAATTTCTGCTTATAGTAGGCTTACGAAAGAGTGATGAATTGCTGAATTTCATGTGCCTTCACCCATGGCCTAGATTTTATTCCTAATTTTTAGATAGGGGGTGTGCTTTTGAGGAGGAAGAGTTCCTTTGGTTTTGGCAAGTGGCTTGGGTTCTGTTTGGGTAGAGACCATTTCTGTCATCTGGATTTTTTTATTTCTTGACTGGTTTGTTGAATGAAGAGCAGCAGCAGTGAAGTGGTTGCCAGCCCTTCCCTCTCCTTGTTTTTAGTAGACTGCTCAGGAATGACCAGGTTTTGCTACAGTGTTCCATCTTTCCCTTTCCTGACAGCAATTGGTGCTTCCAGCACTTTAACTTTATTTGCCATAGTAATTTACTGACTGTTCTAGCCAGGGGTTTTATGGTCTCATGTGGTTGTGTGTTATTCTAGAGGACTGTGACATGCTGTTATTTTTAAGTGTAACTTCAATTGGATTTAGAGAGGCTCATGTGGCTTCTCTCTGCATTTAATGAGTTAGTTCCGTATTGTTGCTCCTGGAGAAGCTGGTGCTTGCAGTGAGCATCTGGACTGTGAGGCATGAAAGAGCTCAACCATCTGTCTTGATTCTTCTACAGTCTGCCAGTTAGTATGTCAGGAGAATCTCTGGAACAAGTGCATCTTTTTGGGTGCAGATCTTCTAAAATAGTCAGTTTCTTGCATCACTTGTATGATCCAGTTTTCTAATTTTGGCCTGTTTTTCGTTTGGTTTTTTTTTATTCTTCTGGTGAATGTATCACTGAAATGAGTATTTTTAAGGAAGGAATGGTATTTCCTTGGGATTAAAAAGCTGGCTGGTCACACCTGAGTTGCTGTAGAATGAACTTCTTTCTTGCCAGAAGTTCTGAAGCACTGAACTACCTTTCAGCACTTGTTCCTGAGGAGCTGCCTGTTATTTTAGCATTGTGATGCTCAGAGTCTCATGCGAACTCTGTGGCTTTGTAGGCATCGCAGTGTGCAACATCCCCTCCTCCTCAGTAGAGGAGACAGCCGACTCCACCCTCTGCCACATCCTGAACCTGTACCGCCGTGTCACCTGGCTGCACCAGGCCATGCGGGAGGGGAACCGCGCCGCCAGCGTGGAGCAGATCCGGGAGGTGGCTGGGGGCGCCGTGCGTATCCGTGGGGAGACTCTGGGCATCATTGGACTGGGTAAGTGATGGGAATTGTCAGGTCGAAAAGCAAACTCAAAAGTTTTTGGGAACCTAAGAGTCACAGACTGAAAAAGTGATAATTTTACAGCTGTTCATTGTGAAACACACTGACTCATAAGGAATGCTAGTGCCCTATTCTGTGCTGCTGGAATTCTTCAAGAATTGAGTGTATATCATGGGATTGGGTTTGGTTTTTTTTTCATGTTCAAATGGCTAGAAGAATTGGAACATTCAGACAGCTCTTCTTGGTGACAGTTCCCCTATATGCAAGGCTCTGTAGCAGTAACAAAGCCACCTGAAAGCCACCAATTCCTTCTCCAAGTTCTTGTAATCATTTACTGTTGCCTCTGACCCAGGGTCCAGATTTGGTGTGAAAAAGCTTTCCTTCTAGACTGAGCTCTGGCTATTGCATGGGGAAGGACTAGAACGAGCCACATGGGATCAGCACTGAATAACCTCCTCTGGATCCCTGTGGCAACTGTAGGGGTTCCCAGGACTGCAGTACCTCAGGGCCCTGGCAGTAAACTCCAGTGTAGGCTCCCAGTCTGCCCCAGTATCTTGTCTTTAAAGTTTGTTTTACCTTTCCTTGATGATTGTGGGTTTTCTTTTGTGAAGGCCGAGTTGGACAGGCAGTGGCTCTGCGAGCCAAGTCCTTTGGCTTCAACGTGATTTTCTATGATCCCTATCTGCCGGATGGAGTGGAGCGATCCTTGGGTTTACAGCGAGTAGGAACCCTGCAGGATCTACTAATGCACAGCGATTGCATCACATTGCACTGCAGCCTGAATGAACATAACCATCACCTCATCAATGACTTCACTATTAAACAGGTGCAGCAGGAGCTTGATTTCCCCCACAGAGCACTGTGGAAATGAATGCAAACAGAAACTGCTGCTTTCACAGAGGCTGAGAGCGTGTGCCTCCTGCTGCCTCTGCTGTGTGCCTCCTGCTGCCTTTGGAGGCTGGGAGCGTGTGGATCCGAGTGCCTGTGCTTTATGCTGTATAGAATTTCATGTTAAGGGAAGAATAAGATTGGCTCTTTTTGCCAAGTAATTTCCTTTTTAAAGAATATTTTAGGGGATTCAGTAATTTCAAATGACCGTTAAAATGCATAATTGACTGTGCTGGTTAGAACCAGATGTGGTGTGGCTGGGGCTGTGTCAGATTTTTCACATCTCTGCCAGAGTCTCTCTACCCAAGCCCACTGCAAAGTCAGTCCCGGGCTCTACTCCACTAGTCTATGAATGCTTTTCTGTCCTTTCATGAGACATCTGGACATTGTAGTCCAGTTTTATATAGCTGGATACTTTATTCATGTCCTCTTTTTTAATGTCGTAGGATGAGTACGGAGTGCAGAAAGTTCCACTTTTGCCCTTGTTGTCTTGTGATTTTGTTGGTTCATTTTAAAAGCAAATTTCTCAAGCATTGCTTGCAGGCATTTCCCCTCTGGTTAGCTTTGCAGTGAGAGCACTCCTAGTTCGTCCAGGCCTCATCTAATCACTGCAGGCTCCTGCTCATTTCCAGTAGACTTCCCAATATTCACTTAGCTTCCACAAAAAGTCTCATTCTCAAACAACTTCACGTTTTCTTCTTCCAGATGCGCCAAGGCTGCTTCCTAGTGAACACAGCCCGGGGAGGGTTGGTAGATGAGAAGGCCTTAGCTCAAGCCTTGAAAGAGGGGAGGATCAGAGGAACAGCATTGGATGTGCATGAATCTGAGCCTTTCAGGTAATGTTTTGCCTGCATGCCTGCTGCTTTCCCATGGCTTGCCTCTGCTGGATGATTCTTCTGTGTGGTTTTGAGTTACAGTGATACACTGGAGATGATGGGGGGCGCTTATCATGCCTTGAGAGAAACCACATTTTTCTTTCCTCACCCATCCCCACAGCTTTGCTCAGGGGCCCTTAAAAGATGCACCCAACGTGATCTGCACCCCTCACACTGCCTGGTACAGCGAGCAGGCTTCCATTGAATCCAGAGAAGATGCAGCTAAGGAGATCCGCAGAGCTATTACAGGTAATGAGGAAGACTGTCTGCTCTGCAGCTGCTGCTGAATTAGGATTCTTCTGTTAGTTCATGGCAAGGATTGTGCTGATTTTTCTGAAAACTTAGACTCAGTAACTGCTTTCTGGAACTGGAGCGTAAGTTGATAATTGTCTCTGCCGTCTGAGAATATTGTAACTAATGCTGGGGTGGCACTTTCCCTCCCTGGGAAAGCCTTGTTCCTAGCACATCTTCCAAATCCTTTATAGTAATTCCTTTAACAGTTACACTGTACACCTTTTTTCTGGACTAGCACATATTGTGGCTTGGGGAAGGTAAGGCTTGGCAATTGCAGTTTGTGGCCAATAACTTTCACAAGATCACAGAAGTGGGAAGAAGGATCAGTTTCTTCTCCAGAGACCAGTTGTTTAGAGGGCAGGGGGTGTTCTCCCCTGCCCGGTGTTATCCTGTGGAGGTAGATGGAAAAAATGTGCCTTTCCTTTCTACTTTCCTTTGTAAATGCTTCAGCAAATGAGTCCTTCTTGGTTGTGTCAGGGCTTTTTTGTCATTCTTTGTGCTCTCATAGGTCACATACCTGATGCTTTGAGGAACTGTGTTAATAAGGAGTACTTGATGTTAGCAGCTCAGTGGTCCAGTATTGATCCTGCAGCTGTCCACCCAGAACTCAACGGAGCTGCAGCTTACAGGTGAGATATGTAGGTTGTCCAAGTACTTCCAAGCGTATCTTCCTCCTGAAGACATCCCTCTTTGGGTTTGAGATCTGCTTGTCCTTGCAAGCAGGTATGTTTCTGTTCCTAGATACGCTGTGCATGAGCTCTTTCCAGAAACTGAAGAGCAGCATTTTTGAAGCTGTACTAAGTTTTAACATTTACTTGGTCATATTTAGTTCCAGCTTCATACTGGCTTATTTTTCCAAATCCTTGCAAGACTGCCCAAATCTTAACACAAGAAAGGTTGTTGGGTGCCTGAAAAGAGGTCTGGATCTTGACATTTAAAAGTCGTGCATATCATTAGGGCTATGTAAACAAAGCAGCGTTCTTACCTGTAGCCGAAGTATCAACTGTTAAAGAGACGCTGTTGGTGGATCCGGGCAATGGCCTAGACAGGCTGTATTTCAGTTGGTCTGTTCAAGACCTGCCAAGTGACTGTGGGCAGGTTGCTTCCCTTTTGTTTTTCTCCCATCTGCAAAGTAGGAAATACATTCTCCTCCCTTCTCTCAGAGACCTATAGAGGTTCGTATATATTTATGGGGAAGGCACAGGGAGGAAGGGAAGGATGGTTTGTTAGCAATTAATGAGTATTGCTCTCTGGTTTGTCATCTTAAGATCTAGCTGTTTTACTAGTTCAGCTCCTTTTTCTTAGAGCCCAGTGGAGGATAACTGGCAGCTTGCACTCCTGCTGATGGGGAGGGAATTTACAGCCCTTTCAGGTACCTTCATACAGTGTCTCACACTGTTTTTCACTGGAGATAAATTTTGTGCCTATTTTGAAAATGCTTAGTATGTGACCTAAGACAGCTCTGCCTGCAAATAGGTGTCATTCAGGGTTAGGATGTAACTGCTACTCTTCATCTTGAGAAATGTGTTGTGTTTTGTCTTGGAGCATTTCTGTTGGAAAGAGGGACTTGTATTCAGCAGGTGCCTGAGGGCACGGCTTGTTTTCCCTTGTATAATTCTGTTTGACAAGCATGTAATTTATATGTTTCTGTTGGTTTCAGGTTTCCTCAAGGAGTAGTGGGAGTAGCCACTCCTGGGCTACCAGAGCCACCAGTAGTGGAAGGGATTGTAGCTCATGGGATCCCTTCTGTTTCTCACTCTGCACCTCGGACCCCTTCCCCAGGAGAGACGAGCAAACTGGATGCAGACAGAGAGATT